CATCATCTTGCCCAGGCTGGTCTCAAACTCCTAAGCTCAAGTAACCCTCCTGCCTTGGCCTCCTAAAGTGCTGGGATCATAGGCATGAACCACCATGCCTGGCCATGACTTCTTTAACCAAACTGTCACCTTGTGCTTTGGGACAGCTAAAGAGAAGGGAAAGAAGACTGAAAGAAAGGCTATCAGTATATTGAACAGATATTTGCACTCCCATGTTTATTGCAGCAGTATTCACAATAGCCAATATACAGAATCAACTTAAGTGTCCATCAATAGATGAATGAATAAAGAAAATGTGGTACATACAAACAATAGAATACTATTCAGCTATAAAAAAGAATGAGATTCTGTCATTTGCAACAACATGAACAGAACTGGAGGACATTATGTTAAATGAAATAAGCCAGGTACAGAAACGTAACTAACAAACGTTCTCACAAATATGTGGGAGCTAAATATATGAGAAGGGTAGGGGTGGAGGATATAAAAGGGATGATAAATAGATACAAAAATACAGTTAGAAGGAATAAGATCTAGTATTTCATAGCACAACAGAGTGGCTATCTTTAACAATAGTTGATCACAGATTTCAAAATAAAATAAAAGAGTGAAATTAGAATGTTCCTAACACAAAGAAATAATAAGTGCTTGAGGTGATACAAGCACCAATTATTCAAATTTTGATCATTACACATTTTTTCTTGTAACAGATATCACATATACCCCATAAATACGTACAACTATTACGTATTGAAAATAATTGACAATTTTTTAAAAAGGAAAGAAGTGGGTCTTCTATGTCTTATGCTTTTGAGGAAACTTTTGTCTTAGGTATCCTTTAGCGTACAGGTACAAACACATACACACAGGTCTATAAAAATATATCATTATTTTTTCTTATCATAAAATACATTAATTTTTTGGCTTACACTACTGGTCTAATTATTCCTATCTGGTTGAAAAATACATTTAATCAAGGTTGATAACCAATAAAGACAGTAAAACTTCTCATTTTCCTAAGTTTCAAAAACACATCTAACATATATAAATTGCACAATAAAATATTTTTTTAAGAATGATGATATTTAGTGATACTCACTCTAAGCCCAGGAAACCCCGGAGGACCAGTGCCACCTACAAGTCCCTATTGTAAAAGAAATGTGCAATACTTATTAAATTTGATTCCCAACTACTGAGGGTATTTCTGAAGATAAACACAAAAACTTTCTAACTAAGAATATATCAAAATGTACCTTCTATTATAGCTAACTTCTGAAACTCCCCTAATCTTATGCATCCTCCTGAGAAGGACAAACCCATGGTGGCCGTTTATGTTCTTCACAAGTGCCCTTGGCTAAATGTTTTTGGACGCCAGGACTACCACTTAATTCTAGCTTAAGTAGAGTCCTCTCTGCTTCCTACGTATTTAACCAAGGAAATAAATCCCATCAATAATCAACACTGTACATTTAATTAGGCTATCTATTCTATGAAAAGACAGGTGGTCAGCATGTAGGATTAGAAAAACATTTTCAGATGGTTTAAAACACTATCGACTCTTTTGAAGTACATTATTTAAATTCTCTAATCTTCATTTTTCTCATTAAAACA